CTTTTTTGTGATTGCTTATTGCGAGATAGGAATCAGATATTTGGTTCCAACATCATTGACCGTAGCTTTAATTGGTCTTCCAGGTGAATATCCATTATCTGAGATCTCAAGCGCGTTTTAATTTGTGTCACATTTGAAAATGTTGATTCACAACATTAGCTTGTGCCAAAACAAAACAGCATTGGACGAGCATGTTGACATAAATGTGGGTATTCAATGGCATTTTTCCGTATTTCAATGGGATCCTTCTCAGTGTCAAATAGAGACTTCAGAATATTATCTTCTGAGAGTTCAATCAATTCCATCTGTAAGTCATCAGGCGCTTTGCAGACACCCACCAGGTGTGGTTGGAAAGCTAGTTTCAGTGTGCGATCACGGTTCTCAAAATTGCAAACGTTTCATTGTATTCTTCAATCAGGGAGTCTAGAACAGCTGTGTATTCTTTCACGTCGCATTTCCTTAATGATTTGCTTGTATCCTGTTCATTAATTACTTTTTGCCAGTTCAGGAAAGTGTTCAGCTGAAAGTTCCGATCGGGTAAGGAAAGTTTTTGAAAAAGGTCAGCTTTTTCCAAAATGCTTAGATTTTTAGCCACATATCATATATAGACTTGCAAAACAAAACGTTCAGATCATTTTGCTTTGACATTATATCGTACAAAAATGCAGCATGTCTGCAGAAATCCTCTTTTGACAATTCACATGGTTCATTCAGTTGCTCAAAAAATCTTGTGATTTGTTTTCGCAAAGATAAAAGTTTTACAAGTATTTGTGCTTGTGACAACCAGAGCACTTTAGAATGGTATGACAGATCCACACTGAATGTTTCATCATCAAGCTGAAGGATGTTGCAAAATTGGCGACGCTGTAATGCATTTGCTCAAATGTAGCTTACAATACCTATAACTTTATTTAATGCTTCACTTAAAACAGTAGATTTGGCAGAGTCTGTTGTTGCAAAAGACAATGAAAGGAAATCAAAGTATCTGGATCTGGCAATTCTTCACATTTTCCTATCACGGATGATGCACTGTCTATGCGTATATTTACTAAATTACATAAATTCCATTTCACTTCACAGCATTTTTCTTTGAAAACAGCAAAGACGTCAATTCCATATGTCCTCGCCGTAAGGGTACCCAAAGCCAGGAACTCCTCGTGGCATTGAAAATCCGCAGTTATAACACGAAAAAAAAACAGCTGTGCTGAGTCAGTAAAGAGTTAGTTTAACTAAACTAAAAGCTATGTTTATTGCCAATGCCACCACTAGGCAATGCAGTAACGGCATATGCACAAAAACACAGCTTTGCAGTCAAACCTCTGGAGCCTTAAGTCACTCAAATTAATGATAGAATTGAAGTGATTTTATTAAAATTGCAGCACTGCACTGAAAAAGCCTTCACTCCAGAGGTGTTCCTGAAATGAATTAGAAAACAGTTGACCAGTGGTACGCTCAGAAAGATCCCTTGTTCCCTCACCTGCTGCCTTACTCCCTGCAGTGAGGGATATATGCCAGTTATTTGGGAGTGAGCAGAGAGGAAGAGGGAGTCGGAGGAGTGTTGGGGTTGGAGTGGAGCTGTAGTGAAGAGAAACAGACAGCTGCCAGCAGGGTACCTAGGAGGCTCTGGCGCAAAGGGAGCAACCAAAATACAGTCATGATAGAATGGCATTATCTCAACCATCCGCATTGCAGAGCTGGTCATCTTTGCATTGGCGACACACACAGTTAACTTGGTTTAAATGTTAAACAGCTTCTGCAATTTTCATACAGAAGCTACACATGCAAAAATACAAATCACTGAATGGAGGTTAGGTCAGGCCAAACTGAAGCCCACAAAGAGATTAAAAAAGACAGTTCACAGCTTTATTGATGACTAACTCATCCATGCCGACTAGATATCCTAAATTAATCTAGTTCCGTTTGCCAGCATTTGGCTCATATCCCTCTAACGCCTTCATATTCATATACCCATCCAGATGTCTTTTTGGAATTGAACCTGGGTCCCTGCACTGTGATGCAACAGTGCTATCCACTGAACTACATGCCACCCCACATCAGGACATACACAAAGAACTTTATCAGTTCGGAAGAAGGGTCACTGGATCCGGAATGTTAACTCTGATTTCTCTCCACAGATGCCGCTAGACCTGCTGATTTTGTCCAAAAATTTATTTTTGTTTGTGAACTTTATCAGGTGACATGCTGCCCAATGGCCAGAAGTTCAAACTGAAAATGGGTTGCTTATGTGAAAATACCACCAATGGTGCTAACTCCCCATCAATAAATCATCCTATTAACGAAATGCCACGTACACAGATGGAAATAAAATTGCCACGACTATCCTGCAACACTTAATCATACAGACACAAAATTAACTATTCCCCTTGTTTCTGAATGGATATCTTGGTGAAATCCTATTCAGTATTTTAACATTTTACAATTATGCACCTATATATTTCAACATAATTTATCATATATCAGTTTATCATAAAATGTTCTATTTTATATGCTTAAACTCAATATGCATAACATTGACTAGCATATTATATGCAAAATTCAGTGTTGGAGTCTTTATAAAGCATTCAACAGAGGAATGTTGCAATAGTTTATTGAGATAGTTTATATTGTGCCATTAATAGTACTGAGATACTGCTTTAGTAATGTTTAGTATAGTTTCATAGTTGAGGGTTAGGATCAGTAACAAATCAGCAGCAACATCCAGGCCTTGGAGAGCTGCTCAGAATCAGCTCCTTGGTCCCCTGACCAAAAAGTAGCTGTAGATAAACAGTGGGATTTCAGAACTCTCATGAGAAATTATCAGTAAGACTAAGAAATTGTGCGCCTCATGACAAATCATGACTGCTGGAACCACACATTAATCTTTTCTGTACTTTCTGTAATACCCTTCAATTTTTCCTAAAATAAGTTCCTAACGCTCCAGTTCAGTTGAGGCAATCAAGAGGGCATCAGATGGTTTTTTTTTGGATAGTAATAATGTGCAGAGATATGGGGAAAAAGCAGGAGATTGGCACTACATAACGGAAATGGACTTGATAATAGGACTGGTGCAGGTGCAATGGGCTGAATGGCCACCTCCTAGACCATAATATTTCTGTTATTCTGTTCAGGCTGAACCAGTGTTTCATATTGCTTACTGTAATTTCCTTGCTTTTGGGAGAGATTTTGATGTTAAAAACATGTTAACAAAATATAAAAGCTAGTTCTTTTGGGAGTTAAAAACACAAGATGCAAAAATAAAATCAACAGTTGCATACACCCTGGCTATAAAATAGCACTAAACACATCCAATATGACGCCTTTCAACACTAAAGACCGATTATCTCTTCAGCCGTGGGGTATCAGCTACTTATAATGTTTCAATGAACTGCATACGTGTTCTGAGGAAGGGTCATCGAACCCAAAAAGTTAACTCTGATTTTTTTCTTCATAGATGCTGCCAGACCTGCTGAGCTTTTCCAGCAACTTTGTTTTTGTTGCACAGGTGACGTGTTGGATTTAATGTACAGATATTTCAATTTTGTATTTGAGATATTTACATTTTTATTACATAGTTTACAAGCCATGATCACATGAATACGTATAAATCAGTAATTAATTAATATTTGCATTCACAAGAAAACTTTTATTATAGATTAAAAAAACAGAATTTAATAGACAAAATTAAAAATTAATACAATATCTCAACAAAATGCACAGAGCAGGAGAAACTGCACAGTAGGAGTGAAATTCCACTTTCTTTGAAATTAGAATGCCTGTCACCTGAAATTTGCCATTGTGGAATATCCATTAACAATGTAGGGGAAGAATGGAGACCACCCACCAGATTTAAAATGAAACAAAAGTCAGGAAGTTTTTCAAGCAGGCACTGTATGTTCACCCTCAGTAACCTGTGGCATTAAGTCACAGAAGCAAAGATTCCAGGCATCATTTACTATGACAGTGGGACCCTTGCTGAATGTATGAACTGGAGACTGGCATTTGAGCAATGTAGTAACTGTACTGTGATCTGATGAACAGCCTCAGTTAGTGCTGGAATTTTTATAATGTGGGGCAAACAGCGTATCCATGTTACATGCTTGTGGAAACCTGCTATCTGATTAAACAACAGAGAAGTGTAACGTTCTGTTAAATAAGGAGTATCAAAACTCATTACATCAGAAATGACATTGGTCAAAATATGGACATATTCCAAATGTTAAATCAAGGAATAAATCCCTCACCCACAAATATTTACAGAAATACAGAAAAAACAAACATCATGGTATTACTTTGAATTATCCCTCTCTGGAAAGAGGTCTACTGCAGTCTGAAAAAATGCACAATGGTTAATCACTGTTGCTTCCTTCACTGTCAGAGTACGCCCCCAGAAGGCTTAAGGACGAATTACAGGCTGTTGATGCTTGCTCTACTTGTGGGCATGACTCTGTTTGCACTGCTGAAGCAGGTGACACCACAGAATAATGATTGCTGCTACCTAGAATATGAAAGTAAAAATGTATTACAGTTATTTAAGAGATAACAATTTAATGTATGAAATCTCTGACTAACTATTCCCGAGCAGAAATTGATTTCTGCCTCACTTGATATTCAGAGTCATATAGAATGGAAACAGACCCCTTGGTCCAACTCATCTGCGCTGACCAGACATCCCAATCTGACCTCGTCCCATTTGCCAGCATTTGGCCCATATCCCTCTAAACACTTCCTATTCATATACCCATCCAGATGCCTTTTACATGTTGTAATTATACTCACCTCCATCATCTCCTCTGGCAGCTCATTCTATACATGCACCACCTTCTGCATGAAAAGGTTACCCCCAGGTCCTTTTTAAGTCTCTCCCATCTCACCTTAAAACTACGACCCCTAAATTTGGACTCCTCCACTCTAGGAGAAAGACCTTGGCTATTCACCCTAAACATGCCTCTCATGATTTTATAAACCTCTAAACGATCACCCCTCAATCTCTGATGCTCCAGGAGAAAAGCCCCAGCCTATTCAGCATCCCACTACAGTCAAACTCTCCAGTCCCAGCAACATCCATGTAAATCTTTTCTGCACCTTTTCAAGTTTAAGGGTGAACTTTTTGGACCTCTCCCAGACTGGCAGTTCCAGTACAGTCACAGCTAGATTAAGTGGCAGCATTCTCAGTCATTCATTCACTAAGTTGCAGGATACAGCCAGCCCAGGAGTACACAACCTAGGCTGGCATTTCAATGTAATATGGACCGAGTGCTGCATTGCTGGAGGAGCTGCCTTTTGAGGAGAGATGGTCATTGTGACCCTGGTAGCCTCTTTGAACAGTCATAAAATTATATGAATTATATTATATTCTACCCTGCATTATATGAAAATCCTAAATTCCTTACTCAGTCGACATCACTTTAAAAAAAATTAAACAAAACACTCTTATTCGTACAATCCTCAATGCGCACATTTCCTATTAGTTTCAACCAATATTACTGACTTCAAAAGTCATTTATTAAATGTGAAGCACTATAGCAGGTTCCCAGGATGTAGCAAGTACTACAGAATTGTTAAACCCTTTTGTGTTTTCCTGCTTCTGTTGATCCCTGCTGACTCTATTTCCACAGATTCTTGATACCATCTTATACCTCGTTTCCTGTGTCATTGGCAGTTTTTCCATAAGGACATCACATCTGAAATCTGTCATCGTCCCCACATTTGCACAAGTTCCCTTTACAACAGAGGTGCACCATCACGATCAGATCCTTCTCCTTGTACACAGGCCCAACAGCACTGTGAGCAAGATCACTGATTGCTCTTGATGCTGTGATCACACAGCATGGCAGCGGCTGAGGATCAACAGTGGAAGCCATGAGTGGAACTCTTCTGTTGCCTGCATTTGTTCAGCCTTTATTTCTGAAGCGGAAACAGCTTTACAAGATTTGATAGCGGATTAAGAAGATATGTATTTTAGACAGCATCTTTCCCAATTTTAAGGCATCTCAAAAATCTTTGCAGAATAACTAAATACGTTTGAAGTCCAGTCACTGCTATAACATATGAAGCATTGTTTCAGCTCTACAAAGAGAAGGGCAGACCTTCATGAGAAAGGCAGTGGTGGCAAGAGGTAACAAGCAGCAGCACACAGATCCTCCCAAAACAGTTCTACAAGTAGGTGATTGGTGGGTTTCTTGATTGGTCAAGTGGTTTAAATCAGGATATTTCATTGAAGCTGAAGGATACAGATAAGAAATTCACTATTAAAAAAATGTAACATGCAAATTAATTAATTAAATAGAGAACACTGGGCAGGCAAATGTGTTGCAGCTATAGTATGTGAGAGCTAGTGGACATCAGTGCGACTCATGTTGACCATATCTACAGCAAGGCTGCCCGAGGAACTTTGGCTCAAAGTTGATGAGCTGGGCCTGAGCTGCGGGCACCGCAACACATCAGGGAGGTGGGCAGGTACCTGGACTCTGTGCTTCAGGAGATAGTCATACCCTTTAGATTAATTCTATCAAATATGGTCTGTGGACACAGAGCTGCCAAAGGAGATGGTGGAGTTGAGTACAATTACAACATGTAAAAGGCATCTGTGTGTGAGGCAGGTGTGCGGATTCAGAATTTAGCTTCGGTGAAGACAGTGCACTTTTCTAAAAGGTATAAGGTTTTTTCTCTTCGTGTGACTGAGAACATAGACTGCAGCGGTGATGAGCAAACTGACCATAGCAACGTGCTCCAGAGTGCCATTCATTTGAAGAGAGTCAAGAGAAATGTAGTCGTCATAAGTTTGGGGAAGAGACAATGTTCTCTGCAGTGAAGACAAAGAGTCCCAAAGGTTGTGTTGCCTGCCTGGTGATAAGATTCAGGACATCTGTCTGGGCTGGGCGGGGGGAATGTGAAGTGGGAGGGGTAAGATCCACGTAGGTACCAATAGTGTAGGTAAAGTAGGAAAGAGGTTCTGCTTAGGGATTATGAGCAGCCTGGGGCTAAATTGAAAAGCACAAGGATCACAAAGGTAATAATTTTGGGATTACTATCCGAGTCATGTGCAAATTGACACAGCGTAATTAAGATTAGAGAGATAAATGCGTAGCTCAAAGATTGGTGTGGGAGAAATAGTTCCGATTCTTGAGGCATTGCCTCTAGTACTGGAGAAAGAAAGGGCAGGTCAGCTGGCTTCATCTGAACCATGCAGGGACCAGTGTCCTGATGAATAATATAACTAGAACTGTAGATAGAAAATTAATCTAATTTGTGAGGGGAGGTGGAGGGAAAGAGACAGGATTCAACTGAAGGGAAGTTTAAAAAAATCAAAAAGAAACAAGTGAGCAGACGTGCAGGGTAGCTATGTTGACTATGGGATAAATATAAGCACGAGCACCTGAGAAAACTGTTTTTTACTGAGACGAGCCACAGGTCATTTGCATCACACTTGAGGGGCTATGAGGCTCGGTTTAACGTTCCATCCCAAGAACAGCATCTCTGACGGTGCACCACTGGGGAGTTGGTTTTAATTTGTGCTCAACAGTGGGTTTCTTTGATTTTGAGTGAATGTTACAAACTGAGGTTCCCCAGCTTATCAAGTATCATAGGTATGAAGATAGTCATGATTGTGCATCATAAAGGATTAGAGACATTTTTGAACATTAAAAGCAAAGGAAGGCTATTGATGGGTAAATTTAATGTAGGGCACCAGAGTGCCTGGATAAGTAAACAAGGGTTTGACGCCTACTCAATTCTCATTAAAATGAGACCAAACAAAAACTAATTAATTTCCAAATACAACAAAACCAAAAAAGCTCAATGTTTTGCACCCAGTTCTTACCATTGCTTGTCAGGCAGTCTTTCTGGAAAGTGCCTCCTTTCCGTGGGCTGGATAAATCTGCTTGTTTCATCTGTGGCTTCTTCACCACCAACCCAGAAAGATGAAGATTTCCACTGAACTTTCCCACACTCCTCTCCCAACTCTCAGCCTTCAGTTTTTTACTCTGACGATCAGTATTCTGTTATAAAGTAAAACCACATACATAAAATAAAAGAACATTGACAAACACCTTAAGTGGTCATACAGAACCTGAGTACTGCCGGAAAAAAAAAGGACATATTTTGACAAAACCTCTCATCTTGCACTCATCATGACACATGCACATGGGCTGCAACTTACCACAGCCAAAAATGAACTCCTGCAATCAGTGTATGGACTTTAAGACATTGAATCTAGTGTGGATAATATAAGCAACTCCTCTTTTCTGCTGCAAAGACAGAAATTGTTGGAGAAACTCAGCATGTCTGACAGCATCTTTGGAGAGGAAGCATAATCAACATTTAAGGTCCAATTAACCTTCCTCAGAGCTCCTGTAATCTGCTACTTCTTTGGTGGATCAATCGCGGTTTTACAGAAGAATCAATCAATCAATCAATTCATATCCTCTCACCCCTTCCCAATTCCTTCCACTCTTTCTTAAAAGGTTCTAGTTTGGCTTCTCAAAAACCCTTGAACACCTACGGGCACAACACACTTAAACTAGCTATACCATCCGACTGATCGCCATCTGTGAGCAACTTCACTTCCTACACATCTTCTCAAAAATCTTGAAGTTTAGTTTACACAAACACAACATGATTCATGTTTACACAGGCAAGGACAGGTTTCTGTACAAAATTAACATGCTATGTATGCTGAAAATCAGAATCAAAAATCACAAAAGTGGGAAACAGTCAGCAAATCAAGAAGCATTACAGGAGAGAGAAACAGAATTGACATTTCAGGCTGATGTCCATTTTTCAGAATGAAAATTGGCCTTGCAAGGATCCACAAACAGCAGCATGGTAATGATCAAATCATCAGTTTAGTGATGGGGCAAACACTTGGCCAAGATAAAGGCTCAGCGAGAGGAACAAAAACAGAAGTTGCAGGAAAAGCTCAGCAGGTCTGGCAGCATCTGTGAAGAAAAAAATCAGAGTTAACGTTTCGGGTCCGGTGACCATTCCTCAGAGCCCTTTTCATTTTTCTTCACCCATTTTTCTCAGCCCTGCTGAGCTTTTCCAGCAACTTCTGTTTTTGTTCCTGATTTACAGCATCCGCAGTTCTTTCAGTTTTGCTCACCAAGAGGATATTTCTCCTGATATATTAACTCTCCTTCTCTCTCCACAGTATTGGCTGACCAACTGTGTATTTTCTGTTTTACTCTACAGCATTGCTTGTCACCATACTTTACATGTGCACACTTATGTTGAGCACTGGCAAGCTAATTTAACACAACTACATACCTGTTGCTCTATCTCCTGCTGGCTACTGGGAGACTTACAATAAAACCCCATCATAGTGGTTGCACCTTGCTTATTCCTGAGTTCCACCCACAATGGCTTTGCTGAATGAGCCCACTATCATGATTAGACCCCTGTCCTTGTACACAGGTCCAACAGCATTGTGGGCAAGATCACTGATGTCGGGATGCACTAAGATGCCCTTTCATAGTGCAGGTGTGACATTCTCTTTCACCCGTAATGAAATTCCCCCACCCCTTTTAGATCCTGCTCTATCATGTCTAATACATCTAAATAGTGGAACGTTGAGGGGACAGTCCTTCCCTTCTCTCAACCATGTTTCTCTCATGGCTACAACATCGCTGTTCTATGCACTAATCCAGGCCCTAAGCTCATCTGCCTTACCTGTTATACTCTCTGCATTAAATACACTTCAGATCATCAGTCCCGCTGTGCTCATTAACCTGGCCCTGCCTGTTCTTACTATTAGTCTTACTTGACTTAACGTTGACCATATCCTCAATCACTCTGCATGCCAACTTACTGCTCCGGTTCCCTTCACCTGCCACACTAGTTTAAACCCTCCCAAGTGGCACTAGCAAACCTACCTGCGAGGATATTGGTGTCCCTCCAGTTTAGATGCAATCTGCCCTTCTTCTACAGGTGCCTCCTGCCCTCAAAGAGATCCCAATGATCTAGATATATGAAGCCCTCCCTCCTACACTAGCTCTTTAGCCACTCATTCAACTGTATTATCTTCCTGCTAATTCGAGACCTGTGTAATCTGTAGCGATAAATCTCTGAAGCAATGCAAGACCACAATGTCTCAGAGGATTGGGCCGTATGTGAAAAGACTGGACGGCTAAAGAGTTTATCCTTAAAAAGTGGCGACTGAGAGAAGACTTCTTGATAGGACCTCAGAAGTAATTTAGAAATGGTATGAGACACTAAATACACTTTACATCAAGCTGTAAACAACAGAGAAATGAGGAATTTAGAATTGATTTCTAAAAGTTATTTGCACACAAAAATGCACGACAAATGAAAGGATTCTGAATAGAGTAGTGGGGGAGAAAGTGGGGAAAACTGGAGATTTTCCTGGATGGCGCAAGCCAAAATGGGTAGAATGGCCTGTGACAATGCAAGAAATCTATTTCTTAGTTTTCAAGCACTTCAAAAGGAATCAGAATCATACCTCATTGAGAATATCTGTCGGCCTCTGAGGGACTTGGGAATTCAGCTTACGAGGTTTAGGGAGCTCCTCATCAGAGTCCGAATCATCTAGAATTCTCTTCACCTGGGCACTTTCCAGCATTGTCCTTTTAGGATAGAAAGAGGCAAGATAAATCAACACAGAGAACTGATTCCTGGCATGTAAAGTCTCTACAGGGAAACATGTTGATGCTTGATTGGGGAAAGATAAAGAATGCAGGAAGGGGAAGGGAAAGAGTGACTGTGCAGGAAACAACATTTTTGATTGGATTCCAAACTTCAAGAAACCACATCGTGTCAAATTAGTGTAATTATGGAGAGGGCTCTCAAGCTCATTTTAAAAACTGTCCCATTGTTCTTTTTGAGCTGGTGAATGGTCTAGCGAAAGCAGGGGCATACTGTGTCTGCAGCACTTCAGTTCTACTTGAGCCTACTGGTCAGAATGCATCAATGAAATAAAGGGACTGGAACATGCAACATGCAACAGGCACAAACCAGCACCTGGTGCTCAGTGAATTGCATGGATGTTACTAATAAAAATTGCCAGATTTTCTAAATTAATACAAGAAGTTCGTGTGCTTTATTTTGAGGTAACCAGAGAAAAAGCTAATAAAATATTTATCTTTGAGAGAAAATAACGAATGTAACCCATTACTCTCCTCTATCTCACACCGAGGCATTACTGCATCCCAATACTTTGTGGAAACAATCATATCCAGACAGTGAGCAGGCTATTCCACTGTGAAGGGCTTCACAGTTGAGCCCAGTCTCACCACTCTTCCTAACAAAAGAAATTTCTGGATTGTGATTAGAATGGGCACTTTGATTTATTCCCTCAGAATCTCCAGTTCACCCTTAGGGCACTGACCCTAAATAGGATTGTCCTTGCACCATTCTAGCTGTGACCAACTAATTTAGCAGAAAGCTTTCCTCAGAATCCATTCTGCTCTTTAGTATCTTAATGCTGATGATCATCATTATAATGAATGGAACAATTCTGAATTTTGAGAGCCAGACCTACTTCATTTCTCGCTCATCCTCCTCCTCCTGCTGTCGTTTCAGGTCTTTCTCGTATTTCTGATACTCCAGTAACATGCTCTCAAAGTCCACGTTAGCCTGTCGCTGGTTCAACTCCTTCAGCTCCTGCAGGTTTTCCAACACCTCCATTTCCATTTTGGAGTCTTTAGTCCTGTTCTCTAAAACCTTTAAAAAGGATAAACACATGGAAGACCGTGAGTACTGAAATTACTAGACCATGTCGGCTATTAGTCTTCACGAGTAAATTTCTGATCAGCACATTGCACCTCCACACTGAAATCCCCACCACTGCCATTTTCATTATTCTTCAAATCATTTTTGCCATTAAAAATAAAACCATCATAGTGTGATTGCATTGTTTCAAGTTATGCTTGTAAATATGACCTTGAGTATTTACAATATATTCTGCTTGGAAAATTTTGACAAGGAGGTTTTACTAAGGTTCCAAACATCACACCACCTCATCCCCACAAGAGGGAGAAAGGAGCAGAACAATGTATGAATGAGGTTAGATGAAGAGTGGCAGGAGGCCAGAGTGCAGCATAGACACTGGAACAGGCCTGGCAGTGTGCTTCAAATAGTTAGCAATACCTTCATCGGATTGTTCAGCTCTTCATCCTCCCGTTCTTTCTGCATTTGCTTCTCCTGCTCCTCTAGCAGCTTCTCTGCTTGGAAGTTTCGTGTCGCTCCGTGCTCCATCACGTAGTCTGTGTTCTCAGGGTCTGTCTAAAAGGTCAGACACACAGCAGCAATAAATAAACGACCACATGTCAAGGCAAATTCATTATCTTGGTTCAAACACAAAGCAAGTCCAGCAAAGAGCTTAGGTTTTAAAAAAATCTTTCCTCTCAGTATTAAGCAGTAATGTGTATGTTTAAGTATTATATTGTAAAATACAATAGAGAGGTAGTAGGCTTGAACCCTGGGCTCTGCAGACATATCTAATTGCACTTAAATGTTCTTAAGAATAGTGTCAGTACACCTTGGCATTAGAACTCTCTACAATTAAATAATGACATTTACCATCAAGGTTTACAATAGTATCCTGAGATAGAAATTCTCATGTGGTGGGTACTACTAGCCAAGGTAGACTTTTATTACTATTGCTAGTTATAGTTAGGCCATTTTAAGTGTCGCCACATTGGAGTGGGATGGGAGTGGCATATGGAACATACCGAGTAATGATGTCCTTCCCTAAAGGAAGTTAGTCAGGCAGCTGAGCTTTTAAGAAAAGTGTATAGTCACTTTTACCTTTTATTCTCAAAAAAAAAATGAATTCAAGTTTTCAAAATGCCATGGTGGGATCTAACTCCCATTCTCTGGAATCATCCAGGCCTCTCAATTGCTAATCCAGTAAAATAACCGTTGTACTACCATCTAACCCCCTTACCTCCATCCTTGCTTAATTTAAATAAGCTGATATCTCAATTTTCTTCAGCATCAATTTGCTACCTTACTAATGCTGCTGAATGGAAGTGATTAGGCAACTCAAATTAATGCAGGACAATGAGTGAGTTATCATCAAGAGTGGACTGCAAACCCTCACTGTAGGATCCACCAACTTCTGGACAGACAGCTGAAATTCGGAGAGAATTTCTTCGAGCTCTCCTTTTCTGTGGATGTGGGGAGAGAATTTTTGTTATCTTTCAGCTCCTGGGCAAGCGACTGTGGATGAAAGATTTGCACAAGTCTTGCTCTAAACCCACAACGTTCCCTGCAGCTTGCATTGCCAAAATGCTTGGACAAGCTACATGTAACAACTTTAATTCAGATCCATCCTGCTTCACCACCATTGTCCCCCCCTCCAACCCCCCAAAATCACTGCCGAACCCTAAGAATGATCAACATTTACATGGAACATTGAAACACGTAAAACGTGACACCAACATAACCCGCAAGTGAGTACATCATTTTGGCAACGCAAGCTTTCCGCTGGGATTTTCCTCTATCCCCTACCATACCGTATTCCACAGCATTCCAGAACTAGGGGGAGTATTTTTAAAGTGAGAGGAGGAAGATTTAAAAAGGACCCGAGGGGCAACTTTTTCACACAGAGGGTTGTAGAATGAACTGTCAGATGAAGTGGTAGATGCAGGTACAGTTACAACATTTAAAACTGATTTGAACAGGTACATGAATAGGAATGGTTTATAAGGATATGCACCGAATGCAGGCAATTTGACTATTTTAGTTTGGGGAATGTGGTTGGCATGGATGAGTTTGACTGAAGGGTCCATTTTTGTGGTTTATGACTGTGTAGCCAAGGGGAGCAGTTTGGATGTTGCAACTGGCCTTGTCATGCTACGACAGGGAATGCAAAAAATATTAGCCATGATTTCCTGCTCTTGATCACCTGCTGATTCATGCTGGAAAATGACTAGCATCGTATCAGAAATAAACAACAAAAATTTACAATAGATCACAGAGGCAGGGAGTCAACAAATCAAGTATGTTTTGGTGAGTGTGAGAGACCTCAAAGGTTCATTCTGTTGCTCTTTTCATACATTCTATCAGAATTGCTGAGGCTTTTCTGCCTTTTCTTCAAATATCCAGTATCTACAACACTTTGCTTTCATATTCATGTAGGACCAATCTATGTTGTGATAGGCATCAACAGTTTAACATACCTGACACCCTCTGCTGCCCAGGCTCACGTGAATAAATGACACTTAAGGTATGTACCCATGGATACATTCCTTAGAGAGAATCAATGTCATTAGGAGGAGTAGATGATGATAGATGGGGTGGGATGGATAATAAATTGCAAAATTTATTGGAATCCTGGAGAAAAATTACATTCCTGACTGCAGTGCAAATACTGCCTGGAGGAGGGAACTCTATTCAAATAAATTGATGAGATGTAGAAGTATTTACTTTAAATGTGATTTCTGCCAGACACCTGGTACATTTGATGTAGAAACGGAAGATGGGGAGACCCAGGTAGACCTCATTCTGTACAGTTTCCTTTCGTGCATTGAACTTCTTGCCTTTGTATATGTACTCTCCACATGTCTTGCATCTAGCACAACAGAAGAACACATGAAACTGTCAAACAAGGCTGTCTTGTTTATCTATGCTTCACAATACAGTATCAACAGGGCCAGTTGGGAAAATAGAACCTGGAAAATTTCTCTCCTAACCGTTCAGTCATAATTTATGTTACAGGATACCTAATGCCTGCACAAAATACTCTGATCCCTCTTAAAAGAATACAGTGAATCAACAGGGCAGCACGGTGGCTCAGCGGTTAGCACTGCCTCACAACACCAGGGAGCCGGGTTCGATTCCACCCTCAGGGGACTGTCTGTTTGGAGTTTGCACATTCTCCCCATATCTCTGTGTGTTTCCTTCCATAGTCTAAAGATGTGTAGGTTAGGTGGGTTGGCAATGCTGAATTACCCGCAGTGTCCAGGGACGTGCAGGCTAGGTGGATTGGCCATGGAAAATGCAGGGTTGCAGCGATTGGGGGTCTGGGTGGGATGCTCTTCGGAGGGGCTCGATGGGCCGACTTCTACACTGTAGGGATTCTATTACATTTACCGCATAATCTGGCAACCTCTTCCCCAGCTCCACTATTCTCCGATAAAAGAATAACATCCAACCTGGTTCTGCCCTTGCCTAACTTGTAAGCTTGCTCCCTAACAAATTCCATTGAAATAACTGGTCAACATCAACACAATTTTGTTATTTCATTATTTTGCAAATCTTGTTCAAATGATCCCCGTCTTACCTCTTTAAAACACAAAGAATTACATTTCCTCTTGTGAAAAGTAATTTTCTTGCATTTAATGGAAGAAACAATTAGCAAAATATTCTTAATGCTTTAGACTCTGAAGAGAACGCTTCTTATGGCACAGCTTGCATCTCCAAATGACCTCATTGAGAGGCTGCAGTGTGTGATATCATGCTGGGAATACATCTGGGGTCAGGCCTGGACATATCAAAAATGTGATCTGGTCAGAGTATAACATACAGGCCTTATCTGGCTGGAAATATCAACTGTTAAATGTATTTTCTGGCCAATTTGCTGCTAATGTAGGATTTTCTATTCTAAAAAGGTCTGGCCCACAACAGGGAAAGACAGGCACCATAACAAGCTACATCACAAAATACAATGGAATAGGCTCTCAGGCAGGTGTCACTATACATTAAAATAAAAGCAAAGTACTGGAGATCTGAAATTAAAACAGAAAGTGCTGGAGAAACTCAGTAGGTCTGGCAGCATCTGTGGAGACAGAAATGAAGTTAATGTTTCAAATCCAAAAGAGACTTCTTCAAACTCATTATGCATTGTTAGCGGAGAGTCCAGACCTACGTAAGAGTTATGGGGAAAACATGGCTTAATTGACAGCTCTTGCTCTCTCTGCAATTGACAGCAAAGATCAATGTTTCTTTACACAAGATTAAGAGGCATTAAGTGCATGTACTTTCTACTATTGAAGAAGATCTGGATCACTGACACTTTTATTGGCCTGTATTATAAAGGGTTCTTCTACAAGTGGAAAATTAACAATGGGTTATTAAGCAACGGATTCCCAATCTTATAGCCACAATAGGATTCATTGGTCCTATGTAGCATATTGTGCATACATGTGCATGAAAGTGCCTCAGCTTGGCATATGCGTCAAGGATAGTTATAGGCATGGAGAGAGGGGAATATCTTGCAAGAGGCATGAAGGATAATAGGGGTTCAGTGAAGGTGGATGGAGTGGCATGAATGGGGAACGGGAAAAAGTGTGGGTTTGAGAACTAAGGGGTTTGAGGAGTTGCGAGGGGTGAAGGCTAGCTGGCTTTACTTTTTTCTCGTAACTGGGACGAAGTGCGACAACAATGAGGTAAATCTTTTAAACAGTCAGCCTTGGCACCCCAACTTCCAATAAAGAAAATCCTGTCTTTTCTGGCATTTTCTCCTGAGGCAAACAGACCAAATTGGCAATGTTTCTGACTCCCACTTTGAGACGAAAATCTACGCCTGCAGTACAAAGTGGGCGTGAGAGGGAAAGATTGGTCTGACTTTGTGCATTTGCTAAAACAAGCCCTTCATCACATCCAGGTTGGTTGATCTATTAGCTCAGGCTTTACAATGTGTTAAGGCTGCCAGAGGAAGCATCATTGTTCTTATTAATGTCTGAACATTAATAGTGAGCTTTGTTTTTCAAATGTTAAGCTGGGTGCACAATTTCAGAATGGTCATCTCCCGGTTACAGCAGAAGCAAATGCTATTGTCAATCGAAATAATACTAGACCAGTCTCTTCTTGGTGGGTTTTTGTATTAACTCTGAAGGAAACGTTATGTGCTGTGCAGGTTGGGAGTAAACATGACGACCACTAATGGAATCACTTTGCATAGGAAAGCACTTAGAGCCATCTATCAGGTCATCAAAAAGTGCCCAGTCAAGAGAAAATGGTTAGCTGACAGCAAACTCAGCTTGAAAAGCTTTTTCATTGCAGAAAGAAAGCAAGACTAAGGGACATGAAGAGTTCCACAGCCTTGAAATACAAGATAAAAGCATTGATATTACCACCTTGTCACAAAATCTCTGAAACCTCTCAAAGCACTGAATCACTTTGAAGCACACTAACTGTCATGTCACCAAAAGAATGATAACGACGAGAAAGCACTGGGTCACAGAGTTCAGAAATTGAAAGCAAGGAAATGGAAAGATCAGGTAACTGACTAAAGACTCTCCTTAGACGGAGAGAGAATTAAAATTGAGTGATTGAGTTTTTTCTTCCCCAAGACAATAGCTATGGAAGAGTTTGTCAGCTTGTATAACGAATGCAGATTTACAGCATTCTTGGATGTTTTTTGTGCAGGAGAAGACCATATCGCGCAAGATTTAGGAATCTGGTAACATAAATTGTGAGTATACAATGATCCACAAGGGTTGGGGACATATCTTCCACTGTCTATTTACCCAATGATGCCAAGATACTGGGACAGAATGTGGGACACTTTATGTGTAAACTAGTGGAGAAATCATATCAGGCAATTGGTTGTGAATGCTAACACTTTAATTTCCATTATTAAATTAAACTTACATTATTAAACAATGAAAGCAACATTATTAAACAATGTAAGCAACACACATTCTTTAGGGCACACAAAATTAATTCTAAACAGGTTAGCAGGTGAGATGTTGATGAGCAGCTTGTGCCTACCTCATGTTGAAAGGAGCCATTAATCGGACCACATACTGTCGATCTTTGGGAAGTTTGAGTTTTGGGATTTTTGACGGATCAAAGTCCGGTGGGTAGTATTTCTGTTGGAAAGAAAAGAAATGCAGTCATCAGGATTCTTTTAGGAATCGTACAGTTTCCCATTTATTTGTATGCTGAAAAAAGTGATGGATGTTAGAATTCAGGGAGGTATTCAAGCATTTGGTTCATTTGTAAACGGAGTTCCTCCACTGTCCAAATTTCAGAATAGCACACCAGCAGCACTAAAAAATTTATCATTTTAACCCTTTAGCCCTTCTGTTGACCCTACCACTTGGTACTAAATAAACTGCAGTTTTGTGCATTCAGTCAACATGTTAGGAATTGGTCTGATACTGCCTGGACTCATTTCACATTGAGCTCTTCCAACCAGTTCATCAGACTCTAGGTTTATGTGTTTCCAAGAAAGATAATGAAATTGGTTAAAAATTAATTCAGTAAAATCCAATCAAATTACAGGTCATGTGTTACCACGAGCACAAACAGACCTTTCTGATAATCTGAAATACCTTCCATGGGTATCTTTGATAGGAATATGTTGGGCAATGAGGTTACAGATTGTGGTTGAATATAATTCTGTTGTTGCTGGTGGCTTACAGTGCCTCTAGATTTGAATTGCTGGATCTGTTTGAAATATACTCGAATTAGCACAGTGATAAAGTCGCATGACACAAGGATATCCTCAGTGTGAAGAGGATTCTGTCTTAACAAGGATGAATCAGGCTTATCACCATTTATAGAGTCATACAGCACAGGAACAGACCCTTCAGTCCGACCAGTCCATGCCGAACATAATCCCAAAGTAAACTAGTTCCACCTACCTGCTCCTGGCCCATATCCCTCCAAACCTTTCCTATTCATATATCTATCCAAATGTCTTTTGGACATTGTAACTGTACCTGCATCTACCACTTCATCAGGAAGTTCATTCTACATGTGAACCACCCTCTGTGTAAAAAATTTGCCTCATATCTTTTTTAAGTCTCTCTCTTCTCACCTAGAAATGTGCCCCCTAGTCTTGAAACCACAAAATCTAGGGAGAAGACAAATAACATGAATTCTATCTATACCTCTCATTATTTTATAAAGTTTTATCAGGTCATCTCTCAACCTCCTACACTCCAGTGAAAAAAGTCCCAGCCTATCCAGCCTTTCCTTACAACTCAAACCTTCCATTCCTGGCAACATCCTGGTAAATCTCTTCTGAACTTTCTCCAGCTTGATAATATCCTTCCTATAACTGAGCAGCCAGAGCTGGACACAGTATTCCAGAAGAGGCCTCACCAATATCCTGTACAATCTCAACATAACGTCCCAACTCTTACAGTCAAACGACTGAGCAATGAAGACAAGCGTACCAAACGCCTTTTTAACCACCCTGTCCATATGTGACACAAACTTTAAAGAATTATGCACCTGCACCCCTAGGTCCCTCCGTTTTACAACACTACCCAAGGCTCCACCATTATTTGTATAAACTCTACCCTTGTTTGTTGCACCGAAATGCAATACCTCACATTTATCCAGACTGAACTCCATCTGCCATTTTTCAGCCCATTGACCCATTTGATCAAGATCCCTTTGTAATCTTAGAAAACCTTCTTCACTGTCTACAATGCCATCAATTTTGGTGTCATCTGTAAACTTACTAACCATGCCTTCTATATTTGAGACCATTAACTGCACTAACAGAACAAGCATGTATGAAGAGACTCTAACCTGATGAGAGAGTGCAAGTACAATATCTGCTATTAGAAAAAAAACATATTTATACAGATTTTAAAATGCTTAGTGAAGCACAATTGAAAATGATATTTTTGCTACTTAAGCAATAAGATTACAACAAAGCAAATAAACATTTATTCTATTTTGGAAGTAGTGATTCACATAATAAAGGAGAGGACTCAAGAAGAATGATGTACAATTCTTCCAAAAAATACTAACTGGAGGTTTAAAGGGGCTTCAGCTGTAAAGCTAACCCAGTTTTATTCCATCACAAATGGACTGCCTGATGTGATTAGATGTTCAGTGAGCCTTGAATTTTCATACGTGAAGGATGGGTGCTGTTCACTGGAACCAACTGCACCCACTGGGGAACACACACACACACACAAACAGAGCTCACCTGGGGGGCGGTATAATTTGGGACTCACTGGGACACAGTGCCCACTGGGGTCCCACTGCCAGGTGAGCTGCCCTGGGCTGGTGCTCAGCCTCAGGTGCTAACACCACCAACGGCCCCACAGGGTGAGGATAGGAATGGGGGGGGGTCAGTGGTCACTTTCTGTGTCCAAACACATTCCCACATTCCCACATTCCCACACTCCCACACTCCCACACTCCCACACTCCCACACTCCCAGCCTCACCGCCTCACCCTCTCACCCTCACTCACATTCAATACTTTCCTCTCCGACATCTTTCACAAGCCGATGATCTGAGCCCCGCCCTTATTCCGCGCCCATTGGTTCACATCGCCGCCCTTTCCCGTTCCCAATGGTTAATACAACTGTCAATCAGCGGCTGCCGGAAGCCGCTCCGCCCGTGCTCCGGCCGGACGCCGGAAGCCGCTCCGCCCGTGCTCCGGCCGGACGCCGGAAGCCGCTCCGCCCGTGCTCCGGCCGGACACCAGTTGTCGTTCCGGTCTCGATCACCAATTTAATTACTTCACATTTTTCCCACGTTATACTTCAGCCGATAAAGTTCTTGCCAATTTACCGAACCTATCGGCATCTCTCTGTAAACTGTTGGTATCCGTCTCGCAATTTGCTGTTCCATTTATTTTTCAACTGTATTTTCCACCTAATATAACCATTATCCCTCTATTCCTGTTCAATATTGTACCATATGATGCCAGATGTTTGATGGAATTAGCTCCCAATATGTTCAATAGTTTCCATACTTTGGGAAGATGGAATGCCACCATTTTAAATACAGTCAGAAATCGGAGGATGCCAGATTATAGTCCAACAGGTTTATTTGGAATCACAGGCTCTTGAAGCGCTGTCCCTTTGTCAGGTGAAGCTCACAGACACAGAATTCCTTGGGTAGACATCCTCCAAGGCAGCCTTTGAGATACACAACAACGCAGAATCGCTGACCAGAACCTGACAGTCAAGTTCCATTTCCATGAAGATGGCCTCAACCGTGATCTTGGGTTCATTTCGCGCTACATGTAACCGCACCACACTTCTGTATCTGTAAAATCTTTCTTACTGCCTTGTTTTGTCACCATCACCTTGATAAATTGTTATGATCTTGCAACTTTATTAGTTTGTACAGTTTTTGGATTACTTATTACTTTGGTTCGGCTTCGGCATGCGACTATTATACCTATCATGTTACTCTAATCATTTGGTTTGTCTCCAGCACCACCTTATTTTTAATTTTTTTGTAATTATCTCTCTGCCGCATTTAATCAGATTATAGGTCATCCCTTCACTTGTTATTCAGCTGTTGACACTTTACTCACACCATCTGACTCCCTTGATCACCTGCAGAGACTTATTATTTGGCCTGTCCACACTTCATTCACACCTTTTAGATGATCTTTTGATCTCTCTGCCCATTGATCTCTCTGCCTATAAATTCTGTGCCTGTGTGCTCTGCTGTCTCACTTCACCTGATGAAGGGACTATCCTCCAAAAGCTTGTGATTTCAAATGAACCTGTTGGACTATAACCTGGTGTCATCTGATTTCTAACCTTGTCCAACCCATTCCAACACCAACCCCTCCATATTTTGAATACACAGAGACTAGCTACCCCTAGTCCTGAACCATGTATTAATTTGTAGAATCATAAAGGTATAAATAAGTTGCCATGTTTCACATTCACTTTATCCCTCAGCCTCCTCTAAAGATTTGACCCTCCTCAACTACAGTCCTAGTGCCAACAGTCAAAACCTTATTCTTCATGCTTCAGTCCAAACATCAAGCTACAATGGGCTATTTGACTGCAGTGGGCATTAGGTAACTAAGTCAAGTCATCTCCACCTGAGCATCTATCTCACCAGTGCAGGCTGGATAGAGATCAGGGATGTGAAACTTAATTGGAATCACCTTCTTCCTTCCCAGCTCGGAGTTGTGACCTTAAAGATTGATTTAAAAAAAGGAAAGAAAATTTTTCATTTACATAGTGACATTGACAACTTCAGGATTTGCCATAAGCTTTCCTGTCAACCTGTCTTTCCATCTATTTTTATATCGTTTGCAGATTTGGCTCCAGCACATTTACTTTTTGCCTCCAGGTCATTGATATATATTGCAAGCAGTTGCACTCCCAGCATTGATTCTTGTGGAACCCCAGTGTTTACAGGTCACCAATGTGAAAAAGAACCCCTTATCCCCACTCGCTGTTTCCTGCTCATTAGCCAATTCTGTACCCATGCTAATAATACTGTACCAATACTCACTCATCTCAATCTGCATGGACAAGGAAAACCACAAATTCGACTGGGACAACGCCAAGATCTTGCGACAGGCTAGGCAGAGACAAGCACGAGAATGCCTGGAAGTATGGCACTCCACGAAGCATGCTATTAATAAACACATCGAAATCGACCGCATATACATTCCACTAGGAAGGAAAACCGGAGGTGAGACAATCCATCTCAACGGACCCCAGAGTTTAAAAACCAGGCGGGAAAATACACCGACACTTCATCGGAGGCTGCACTGAAAATGTTATCAAGCATGGTAACGAAACGTCTACAAAAAAACAAACCAGCTCGGCGAGCCAACCAACCTCAATGCTAATATACTACCTCCAACACTTTGGGCTCTTATGACATAACCTTTTGTGAGATACCTTGTCAAATGCCTTCTAGAAGTCCAAATACAACACATCTGGTTCCCCTCTATCCACTCTTGTTGAAACATTGTCAAAAAAGCCTAATAATTGTCCTTTCATAAAGCCATGCTGATTCTGCTTGAGTTAATTTTCCAAATGTTCTGCTTTTACTTCCTTCATAAATGATTCCAGTATTTTCCCAACAAGCGATGTTAGGCTAATCGGCTTATTGTTACCCTCTTTTTGCCTCCCTCCTTTTTTGAATAGGGGTGTCACATTGGCAGTTTTGCAATCCTCAGGTATTTCTCTAGAATCCAGGGACTTTTGGAAAATTATAACCAATGCAGCCACTATCAGTGTGGATACTTCTTATAGGATCCTAGGATGTAAGCCATTAGGGTCAGGGACTTCTCTGCCTTCAGCCCATTATTTTATCTAACACTACTTCTCTAGTGTTGGTATTTAATTTCTCTCTATATCCTTTAGTATTCATGGAATTGTTCCACTGTAAAGACTGATGCAAAATATTTGATTAACTTCTGCCATTTCCTTGATCCCCATAACTATCTCCCCAAAATTATATTCTAAGGGGCCTATGTTCACTTTGACCTCTCTTCTTTTTGTATTTATTTAAAGAAGCTCTTACTGTCAGATTTTATATTCCATGCTGGTTTGCCCTCATGAACTGTGGCTGACAGATTTGTCCAAACCATAGAATCAGAGAAGTCTCATGGTGCAGGAGGAGATCATTACGCCATTCTGTACCTTACTGGTCTTCCAGTGCAGAGTCGTCTTTGACTGAGTGTTACAGACTTGCACATTCCAAAGTCCAGGATTACAGGCTGAGGGATATGCTAAAGCTTCAGATAGCCGCTGCAGAGGTGAAATGCAGAAAAGTCACTAAGGTTCTTGAGTAGATTTGTTGCTCGGGTTGTGGATGCTGTGGTTGGTTGGCTCGCTGAGCTGGTTCGTTATTCTGCAGACGTTTCATCACCCTGCTGGGTAACATCATCAGTGCAGCCTCCGATGAAGCGCCATTGTGTTTTCCCACCTGGTATTTAAACTCTGGTTTCCTCTGGATTTGATTACCTCATTTCCGGTTTTCCTTCGCAGTGCTGTATGTATATATATAGGGTCTAGTTCTATGTATTTGTTGATGGCCTTCTTGGTGGAGTACCAAGCCTCTAGAAATTCCTGTGCTTGTCTCTGTTTGGCCTGTCCTAGGATCCTGGTGTTGTCTCAATCGAACTGGTGGTTCTCCTTATCTGTGTAAATGGAGATGAGTGAGTATTGGTTGTGTCTTTTTGTTGCTAGTTGGTGTTCATATCAAAAAAAAACACGACCAATACAGCTTCAATATTCTTGATGTTCACAATGGACATTTCTTAACTCCCCCTGAAGTGGCCTACACAGCCAAGCAGGGTGGGCAACACATGTCACACTTGTCAGTGACACACATCCCACACAAAAATAGGCTTTTCTATCTCAAACTCTTGTTTCATCTCATGTGTTATCTCTACTCAACAATGTAGCATAGCTATCTTATTCTGGCACACAACATTGCTGTCTATGTTACTTAGTCTGCCGTGCCAATCATGTCAGGCGTATTTTAGTTGTTGCTCTGAACCCAAGCCCATTACATCTATTTCTCCTTTTTTCTTGCCTTTTTTCTCCATTTCTCTTAACCGCCTTCCACCATGGGTCCTTTCTCTACCCTAGTCTCAGTCTCTACCTTTACAAATCCCAATTCTTCTGCACTAATTAACTTCCCAATTCTTCTGCTGCCAGGCTTGATTTAAATATTAAATAGAGTCCTAAGGCTGGATCTTACCTTTTTTAGCGAAGTATGAGTTGTGTTGGTTTTTTTTTGGATGGCGTCCGTTACCTAGCAAATTTTCATGCTTGTATCTTATCAAACTTTGCCTGATGATTTACCTATCCTGTGTGGCATCTCTCATGCCTGCTGCAAGGTTGGCTGCCCTTTGTTTTGGATAAGGCAGGCAGGGATATCGGTGATAAAGGGTCTAGGCCCGAAACATCAGCCTTTCTGCTCCTGTGATGCTGCTTGGCCTGCTGTGTTCATCCAGCTCTGCACCTTGTTGTCAGGGATATCGGTGTCTTGCTTTGTGGGCAGTGTCCTGGAGGCCCTCATGGACTGGGTGGAGCACAAGTTAGAATTCCTCATTCCCCCCCACAACCCCCCCCAGGTCCAGCAGTGGAGGTAACAATGCCAGGCCTTGCCAGAAGTTGGCACCTGGGCTGAAGCAGTCTCAGTTATCTGTATGCTGGCATCTCTGGCAACCACCTGGAAACCGATATCCATTTCAAGCCTACCGACTACCACAGCTACCTAGAATACACCTCCTCTCACCCACCTTCCTGCAAAACTGCCATCCCCTATTCCCAATTCCTCTGCCTCCGTTGCATCTGCTCCCGAGATGAGGCATTCCACTCCCGGACATCCCAGATGTCCTCGTTTTTCAAGGACAGCAATTTCCCCTCCACAGTGGTCGAGAAAGCCCTCGGCCGTGTCTCTCGCATTTCCTGCAACTCATCCCTCACACCCCCTCCCCACAATAACAACCAAAACAGAATCTCCCTTGTCCTCACGTACCACCCCACCAACCTCCGGATCCAACGCATCATCCTCTGACACTTCTGCCATCTG